GGAGGAGAAGGCACAAGATCAGAAGGCGCAGTTGGCGGAACGCGATGATCTGATTGGCCAGCTACGGACCAATCAGCGTAAGCTGGAGGAAGGTACGTGAGTAGTGCCTTTTCTGTGCAATCGTGGCTTCACAAGGCAGGTCGATAAGCCACACTCTCTTACGCTATCCACGCTTATAAAGTATATTTTTTGAAAACGTCCAGGCCCTTCTCACCTTATGTATTAATGTGAATTTGGCATGTTAGTTAGGACACTAGCGTTCAGCTGTGTACGAGACAAAGTTTCTACGACAACAGGCACATTTAGGTATGACTTATAGGTGATTAACGTTTTACGTTCTACCTCTAGGCACGATACAGAACGTGGTTATCAGAGGAATTATGGCAAGAGTATTGTATGTGACCCCAATTAGACGTTATACCTAAAAGTGCCTACTTAGGTTATATAAAAACGTTTCGTTATGTTTTGCCCAGTTGCTCGGGAAGCCTTATTCATTTCTGAGAAAATGGATAAAAAATTTTTTGTAGGTTTTCCTAAATTCAAAAATTCCTGGTCCTGCTTTCCCTAGTCAAGTTTTACCGAAACTGGAGCTGACAGGGTATTTTTCTTTTGAGCAAAGTATTTCTCAGCAATGTATGCCAAAGTTACTATCGATAAGAAGGTCTGCTTCAGGTAGAGTTTACGGGAGCGTGTAAGATGAGTTTTGTTTCCACGCAGTGATCACAAAAGGCTGACTGTAATTTCCTGCTGTCCATGGCCCTAGATTTATGACTTAACACTGCATGTTTACTCCAGTTGGGATGAATGCGAGGACCAAGATAGAGTTATTTTTGAAATCTTCCAGAAATCCATCGAGGATTCTAAGCGGTAGTTCAGCGACAACATTAGCTTAAAGTCAGCGTACAGGTCCCCATCGTAGATGAAAAACTGTGTCGCCAAATTGTCAAGACCCGCGCTTGGTAGTTATAATTAGCGCGAACTCCGAGCTAGCCAGCTATTGTCCCGAACGCCCACTAGGAACAGGAAAAGTCAATCGGTCGGGAGGAGAAGTGTAGTCACACAGTACAAGCCAAGCAAGTCGCTGCAAGTCACTCTCACGAAAAGGCTGCGGGGTATTTATTCAGTCCGCTCCATGAGTAGGCGTCAGCGACAGGGAGCCAATCAGCTATGACGAAAAAATCGATAGCCACGGCGCGCGCTATCATGCCAGTGGCATGGAGCTGCACTCGGCGGCCTGCAATCGGTGATGAGTAATCGTGGGAATCGGCACATTCCCAACAAGACATACTAAAGACTAGGGATCGACTGATGAATAAGATCCATTGTGAGCATGGAGTGAGCTTATTATGGCCGTATATTCATGAGATTTAATGTCAGGAAGGCCTTATTAAACACGCTTGGTTTGAACTATGTGTTACCAACATTCGGATGTCAACGTCCCTATGCAGCCCGTCAATCCCCTTCGTCTAGGACAAAACGAGTGAAGCAATACGTAGCTATAGCCCGAAAATCTCAGTACGTAGAAGCCATTGTCTACAGGCACTTTTTTATCAATCGGTACTTTATACTCGGCCTCAGAATTCACGATAGAGAGTTATATGTTTCTGATCGGGTCTCTTGTTTTTTTTTCTTTTTAATAAATACGTTATTACTACTTCCAAGTAGATTGACTTCCAAAGTAGATTTTCCTGGGCCATCCGTCTGAAATCCAGCAGTCGATTACTGAAGTCACTTTTAACGGTTGTTTATTTTGGCAGAGCTGGCTGATTGTAAGTGAATTAACATCCTCGCGTAGTTAGAAGACCAAGTCCAGAGGCAGTATGTAGGCATTTTTCGTCCAGTCATATGACATTTTTCAACTCTACCCCTCAAGAAAACAAAGTTCTTATGGAACGGATCATGGATATTCAAAACAACCTCTCACACCAGGAATCTGCGACAAGCCGCGCGGTAAAGGAGCGGGATGCTCTCCAGTCCAATATCAATGACCTTCAGAAGAAGCTGGCCCACTTGGAGGCGGAGA